ATTTTCTTGTAGTAGTCATTTACACGTACATCTCCGTTCTCACACAGGAGAAAAGCCTTTTGAGTGTACTGTGTGCAACAAAGCATTTTCTAGAAGTGATTCTCTTCAAGCGCACCTCCGAACTCACAAAGGAGAAAAGCTTTTTGAGTGTACAGTGTGCAACAAGAAATTTATTCGAAGTGACTCTTTGGTGGTACATCTCCGAACTCACACAGGAGAAAAGCCTTTTGGGTGTACTGTGTGCAATAAGAAATATGCCCAAAGTGGTTCTCTTCAAGTGCACCTCCGAACGCACACAGGAGAAAAGTCTTTTGAGTGTACTGTGTGCAACAAAACATTTTCTTGTAGTGGTCATTTACACGTACATCTCCGTTCTCACACAGGAGAAAAGCCTTTTGAGTGTACTGTGTGCAACAAAACATTTTCTTGTAGTAGTCATTTACACGTACATCTCCGTTCTCACACAGGAGAAAAGCTTTTTGAGTGTACTGTGTGCAATAAGAAATATTCCCATAGTGGTTCTCTTCAAGCGCACCTCCGAACGCACACAGGAGAAAAGCCTTTTGAGTGTACCGTGTGCATTAAGAAATTTTCTACAAGTAGTTATCTTCGAGTCCATCTTCGCACTCACACAGGAGAAAAGCCTTTTGAGTGTACTGTGTGCAACAAAGCATTTGTTAGAAGTGATTCTCTTCAAGCACACCTTCGAACTCACAGGAGAAAAGCCTTTTGAGTTTACAGTGTGCAACAAAATATTTTCTCGTAGTAGTCATTTACACGTACATCTACGTTCTCACACAGAAGAAAAAGCCTTTTGAATCTTCATGTTCACCTCCGAACTTACACAGGAGAAAATCCGTTTGAATGTACTGTGTGCGCCAGAACATTTACTACAAGCTGGAAATTACGTGTACATCTCCGAACACACACAAGAGAAATGATCTTTTCGTGTACTGTGACTGTGAGCAGTAAGAAATTTTTCGATGTGATCTCCAAATCCTTTCCCGAACTCTCACAGGGGAAAGCCTTTTGAGTAAAATTGTACCTTTGCAAGGAGTTACTTGTATGTCTGCATCTATACCTATATTTTAACCTGAGAAAAGCGGTTTGGCTAAAGTTGGAACTGTTGTATACCTTTTTACTTTGACCTCAGTGTAAATATGTTTTTTTTTGTCAGTCCGCAGCACAAAACTAACGAAATATTAAAACATAATAATGTTCATTATGAAAGAAAGCAGTGTTTTTCCATGTTTATTTAATTCAAAACAATTGAATGAATCATCAGGAGCTGTCCATTAACCACTAAGACAGTTTGGTCGCGAAAGATCTACGATTGTAAATTGACGGACCTACAGTAAATCAAGATTAGAAGCCCTGTCTCGTATACGGAAAGTTCTGAAACTACAATAATTTTTTGAAGAGTGATTTTGCCAATTTCAAATAACGACTGAAGCTATTTCGGATTAGATTTTTATATTCCCGTCCTACCCAAGCATACAGATTTAAGAACAATCACGTGGAAAGGGACTAAAAGGTCAGATCTTCCTTAACAAAACGCAAATTTTTGGGGGTCCATAACTGCACTCGTTTCGGAGTTTGAGTATGGGCGTGATTATGATCCGAGATAGGGACATATGAACCTATTTCGGATCAACTTTGTACTTAGATGGTGATTTTGTCGTCTTATAGACTATCAGTACACTGTAAAAAATAAAAATAAAAGACCCCCTGCGCCCCCTCTACTCCCCGCCTTTCCTCCCCGCCTTTCCTCCCCGCAAGTCTGTATTGTTGAAGTGTTTTCGCAGACGAGTGGGAGTGGGAAGGGGGCTTCACTCGTACTCGCAAACGTTCTCGTCTCAATTACGTTCCTCGGCAAACCTGCCCAACTGTAAAAAAAAAATGTAAAATAAATCCACAGCATTAACAACAGTTTTGAACTGTCATTTGGAATAAATATTTTTATTTCTGAAACTTTGTTCTCCGGTTTGCGGAAAAGTATAAAACTGTTTTTAGCCCGCCCTTCTGCTTTGAAAAAGCTATCCAGCGGGCTTATGCAAACGACCTCATGTCTGTCTGTGTGTGTCTATCAGTTCCACTAGAAGGAGGTGTTCTAGAGACTTGAAATTTTCAGGGTATCTTAAGGTTCACTCCTAGAGAACGAAACGCCTACGGCAAATCCTGGCAACCACCCCTATGGGTGTGAATGGGCGTATCCAATGATCACAAATACGTTCACTTGTTATACTTAAGTACTGCCGACTGTGTTGCTGGTCGGTTTCTTAATTATTAGTTTAATTTGTTTCGAACTGGGTGCACATGCTTATTTCGGAGCAGGCAATAATTCAAAGACCCCGTGGACTGGGGACCAAAATCTTGTTTGCTTCAAGAGCCGACTACACTGCAAACCGGAGAACAAAGTTTCAGAAATGAAAATCGCAGGGGGTCTTTGCCTCGCTGCCGCGATCAACAAACTTAGTGGCGCGAACAATCGCGGGCAACAAGCAAAATTAAAACACTTGTCAGTGAAGAAAAGTGGAAAAGAGGGAAGGGGGGGGGGGCAAGTTTGCGTGTGGACTTTGTGGTGTATGGCTGCGGGACCTGGGTCCATGGCGCAGGAACGCTTCACAATACGCGCCTTTCCGCACAACCCTGTGGGGACTGTAGAGCGCCTTGCGCCTAGGCAAGCCCGCCGCGCAGGCAGCTCGACGTGGCGGCCCACCCGCCGGGCGCTCAGCTCCACCGGACCAACCACATCAGCAGGTGAGCCGTTGTGAATCACTGAATATCATCTACTGACTTCAGCTGCAAGTGAGAGAATCTCTCATGGGACTCTCTATAGCTCACATACACACTAAAAGTTTTTGAAAATTTTTATTCATAGCTTTCAGAGTTCTGTGTACGTGCTCTGCATACGCATGTTTTAATACACCGGTATGAACAAATTTGTTCTTACTGCGGCGTATTAAAAATGCTTAAGCAGAGCACGTACACAGAACTCTGTAAGCTATGAATAAAAATGTTCAAGCTTTTAGTGTGTAAGTCTAGCCTTGGTAGTAATGTCACAAAAAATATAAAATTTGAGAGGAAGAATTTTTTTTTTATTCTATGTGTTTAAAATCTGGTTTTTTAACGTTTTACCATTTTTACCCGTCGAAGATTTCCGAGTCCATACTTTCACCTTGTGAGAATCGATTCTAACAACATTTCACACTTGCGTTGCTTCCTTTTTGAAAAATATTACGACTCGTTTGTTTAACTTTGTATGGAAACGCAAATGTGTGAATGCCGATTCGTACACTTTAGAGTGCCTCTCTGTGTACAGATGAGGTTCACACACCCATAAGTGTGCGACGTTATTCACACACGTGTGCCTATACTGACCGGTGTCCATGGTCCTGGCGTGCAGGTGGCGCACGGCGTGGGGCGCGGCGGCCCCCCAGGCGAGCAGCAGCCCCGAGGAGAGCCCGTGGGCGGTGAGGGCGGCGCCGCAGACGGCCCAGCCCCAGCCGCCGTCCGGGTAGAAGTGGTGCCGGATGGCGGACGTGTCCACGTCGGTGCGGCGCAGCGCGGGCACGTTGCGGTGCAGCGAGTGCATGTCGCGCTCGCAGATGGCCGCCACCGACTCCGAGTCCTCGGCCGCCATGAACTGCCGCGAGCTGGACGTGAGCCGGGAGCCTGGAAGCAAACACACAGGAGGGTGTCGTTTAGAACCACAACAAAACCTTTGTGAGTATTTCAGAGGCGACATTGTCGTGCACAATGCTGTTGCCCGTCACTGTATATTCGTTATTTCATTGGCTTATTACTTTCGCGTCTCGCCGCGTTCGGCAATATTTATTCTGGGGGATGAAACATTTCAACGATGGGTGGGGGTAGTTGCGTTGTGGCTTTGCCATTAAGAAAGGAGTGGCCAGGCCACAGCGGGGCCTGCCACCCGCCGCCTGAGCCGCCCCGACCCCTCTGCCACCCGCCCC